TTCCGTATTTAAATCGTTGTCTACAAGGTATGCTATAGGGTATTCTGTAAGGTCTTCTAAACGGTATCCTAAATGGTATACTAGAGGATATTCTGTGACGTATATCTCAGGTATACAGACGGTATATTACAGAGCGGTCTTCGGCAAGGTCTTCTACTACAGGGTAGTCCAGAAGGTACTCTAAAGGGCATTCGATAAGGTATTATGTACCGTACTCCACAAGGTATTGTGCAAAACGTATTCTGTAGCCTATATGTAGGAAGGTATTCTAATTCTATAGAGTATTCTATACGGAATTCTTTAAGGTATACACAGGGGGTATTCTAGAAGGTAGTTGTAAGGCTATTCTTCTCGGTTCCTGATTGTCTTCATGGATCCCTTACCCAAAAGCTGCAATCCAACTGCGGACTTCTCAGATATTCGGCTCCGACATGCACCCGGCCCAAAGGAACCAAGATCCAAGATTCACGGGTCCTGGGCATCTTGGTTCTTGGTTCCACGAGCCTGGCTGCATTGAGATCCCCATTGAAAATTGAATTTCAGTGGACCCGACCCAGAGGAACCAACATCCAAGATTTGAGCATCTTGGTTTTCGGTTCTTGGTTCCACGGGCCTGGCTGCATTGAAGTTTAGTTTTGAAAAAGCGGCTTCATAAACACAAGACATGCTCCGCACAGAGGCACATACATTAATGCGCACCAAGATGTACAAGTGTATGTAAACATTTGTACGGAGTAGTCGTATGGTTCAGGGCAGTTTGATCTCGGGGGGGGGGGGGGGGGGGGGGGTGGGTATTTAAATAATATATATATATAACATATGTATATATATATATATTATATATGTATATGTATATGTATATGTATATGTATCTGTATATGTATATGTATATGTATATGTATATGTATATATACCTATGTATCAACTGTATGTAATCAGTATATAGATAGATAGATAGATAGATACTCTCTCTCTCTATGTATACACAGTATACACGTTCTGTTCACATGCACATATATACGCAGACGCATCATAGTAATGCAGAAGATTCTAGCGCAATTATTTATGCAATGTGTTATATCTTTCTGCATACATATATATATGTATATATATATATACATGGTTAGTATGTATATAACTTCATGAAGATCATGTGACTATGAGATAGGGAGAGTCTCCATATATATATATGTATATATATATATATGTATAAAAGTTACATAAAGTACAACATAGTTGCAGTGACTGCATATATATCATATACACATATCAGTGTGTGTAAATATATTAGGTACCACCGTAAATAGTAATTAAGATATGAAACTGCAACGTAGCATAATCATCTAATTGTATATGTATATGTATATGTGAATGTATATGTGTATGTCTATGTATATGTGTATTCCTTCCGTCCTTCCTTCCTTCTTTTCTCCCTCCCTCTGTTCGTTCCTTCCTTCCTTCCTTCCTTCGTTGCTTCCTTCCTCGGTTCCTTCCTTCCTCCCTCCATTCGTTCCTTCTTCCTTCATCCGTTCCTTCTATGTTGTGTTCCTGATACACAGGAACCTTCCTGAAACAAGAGAAGAACATTTTGATTGTGACCACTCACAACCAATAACATCCGCATCCTCATCTTCATGTCAGCCGTGCATCATCCTATCATCCCCAATATTTGTGTCGTCTTTTCCATTCCATTGTGGTCGTGTCGTGGCTGTTCTGCCTTATTGCTTCTCACTCTGTTTCGCTCAACCATCATCACCTTCCTGCCTGTTTTCTTACTGCTTATGGTGGGCTTAGCCGCCCTCTTGCTTTCGTTCGGCAGTCCTCAACCGCGGACCTGAAACCGCAGGTTGGTCTTCCGGCGGTGGAAAAAGCAGCGGCAAAGGCCGGCGGAGGGAGGCCGGCTGCTTGGATCGAGGAATCCTTTTACCAGGGCACACCGATTCTGGCAACTGTCGTTCTTTGAAGCACATCTGAGTCCACACATTCAACAGCACCATCAGAACCGTTCAACAGAGCGTCTATGATCAAACTTCAGCAGCATTGAAGTTTCAATTTCGCACTACCGCTTTGGAGGTGTGCTTGAGGAAGTAGAACTGCCCTTGTTGATCGGAACACCAAGCTTGGCAACTAAACCGAGCCCCCAACTTCCGAGCCCGTTCGCTTCAGCACTATGGCCCTAAGGCGTGATCAAAGCAGCCAAACAAAGCTCATTGAGCCCCACGACCAAATTCCATATAGACCCGAAGCACCTACTAATGACGTCTCTCCAAGCAGTTTGCGTTGGGGGCTTCTGGCTGCTAAGACAGTTAGTTTCCTTTGGGCCTAGGCCCTTTCTGAGCAGTTGGCTCAGAGACCTACAAGCAAACCAGAAGACATGAGACTTTGATCCGATCAATAATGTACTTCGGGGCGTACTCTGCAAATTAACCTGCAGAGATTGTCTGAGTCCCGGAAAGTTTAGCTGTAGTTGCCGGCGATTGCCATGGCCGGCAGAGTCAATAGGGATGGTTTCTAGCACATCCCAAGTGACGGCAGCAGTGAGGAGGAGTGGGAAGATGAGGAGGAGTGGAACGATGACCGCCTGGGCCTCCAAGTCACAGCATCAACGCTGGTCGTGCAAACGCAAACTGAAGCTGTTCCTCGCTAAGGATGGCATTCGAGCTCCAACAAGAATGGATACAACGGTAGAAGCAAGGGTGGGCATTCCAGACGCGATGAAGGAGCGCGAGTATGCGATTTACACTCCTTTTTGTCCAGCTCTTGCTTGACTTGCAGGAGATGACTGGGACAAGAAGCGTGGCCACGATGATTATGATTACGACTACGAGGAGTTGGCATGTACAACCTTCCAGCCTGACCCCAGATTGGACCTGCGCTGGTTGGCAGAGCTCGAGAGCCTCCAGCCTCTGTCTTCCAAAGGTCATCAGGTCATATCAAACAGAAGTGTCTCAACATCTTTGTACATGTAGGTGTGTATCTATGTACGTAAGGAATGTATGCACGCACGTACGTAGGTATGTAGGTATGTATGTAGGTAGGTATGTATGTATGAGTATGTATGAGTATGTATGAGTATGTATGAGTATGTATGTAGGTATGCATGTATGTATGTATATATATATATATATATATATACACATATATGTGTATATGTGCGGCACTATGATAGGGTGCATGGTTGCCGCTCTACCATGTTGGCATGTCCCTGATCGCATCTTCCAGGAAGACCAGGGATGGAGAAAGCGTGACCACGGCGATCGGAGTGCAGGGGCCCCCGGAGTGGCCTTGCAGACGTTTTCAGGTTCAACCCCCCTGAGGTCTCTCAGGATGCTGAGTAAGTTGTGGTAGTCGACGGATGCGAGAAGCAACCCATGCATGGCCAGAGTGCCACCTGGCCTTTCAAACCCACCCTATCCCACTCGGAACATGTTGGGCCAAAGACTGATATGAGCCCGGAACACCGGCATTGAGCCAAGGGCCGGGATGACGGCCGTCGGAGCCGCCCCACCTGGCGGGATGATCGTGAGGTTGGCACCTCATCGCTTCGCCTTCTCTTGTGTTCGGGTGTTCAAGTGGGGCTTTGGAAGAGCAGGCTGCAGCTGCATGTTGGCTCGGCGACGTCCTAAAGTCCCACGCGGCCCAGGAAGAACAGCGGCCCAGCCGACGTGGAGTTACCCGGTACTCCCAGATGACCTTCTGATCCGACAGTGCCTTGGCCCGTAGATGCCACCCCATGAGCAAGATCCCGACGACGGACGTTAGGTAAGGCAAAGCCACAGCAAGCTGGCTTTGCCCGCTTGAGACGGCGATGCGTCAAGCAGGGTAGAATGCGTGGCTCGGACTTTGCAAAGATCGCAGACGGTAGCGGCACTTGCAAGATTCGCAGTCTCAGCCTTCTCTTCGGGAGCCGCGTAAACACCTGCAGCTGCCTGCCGAGCTTTCAGCAGCTTCAGAGACACTCGCCATACGAGCGTTTGGCACTTGCAAATGCCGAACCTTGAAGTGCGAGAGGAAAGAGGAAAGCTTGCGCGCGGAGCTTTTGTCGGGGCATAGGATCGAGCGAAGCCTTGCCTTTGCAGACAGCCCAAAGCAAAAGGCCAGGGGCTGTTGCTTGCAATCACCCGGTGGCTGCGATACATCGCCCTGCCTTCTTATGGCTCTATCATCGACATCTGCAAGCATTGCAAAGGTTTTCGCTCATGACGCAGAAAAAATCAACAAAGGTAATAGCTTACAGAGTTACGTCGTTACATTTTTCAAACGAGACTTTCATGTTCTCCATGGACCGGCTCCGCTGCAAAGAGCTCAGTGCCGTTGGGCTGCCAGAGACAGCCTTGCTATTGCCGCTTGACCTCTCAGCTTGGTGTCACTGCCATGCCATGACAGGGCTGCAGTCGCCTGCAGTGCAGCACATTCTCGCAGCGGGGGCTCGCAGCTCCAGGGTGGCACTGGCTTTTGAGTGATTCCGGTGCCAGTGCCTGCGAGCGACATGGCAGATGTTTCCATGATGGAAGCATTGGCCACGAGCAACGACTGGAGGGTTCGCTACGCGACTCCGCTGCAGAGGCTCCCTTGTCGGCTAAATTATAAGTCCAGACCTGTCAGGAAAATTTCGTCCGCCTCCGGAACATGGGTCCAAAGGTTCTTGCCCAAGAAGCGGATGCCTTGGAAGGCAAGGCTGGAAACGCCGCTACACTCCATTCACAGCAGGTACTTGTGAGTCAGTCGGCACGGCTCTTGTTTTCAGGACGGTGTGCGACGAGAGCCTAGAAGAATCCACAAGATAGCATCCGACAGCGAACAGAAGATTTCTAACGCTCCCCAATCCCTAGCATAGGCCCAGTGCTTAACTGCACTTGCAGCAAGCGGCCCAAGCATAGCAGCCGCTCGGACGGATCGTGCCTATGTCACGATAAGGAAGATTCGTGGGCAATCGGCTCAAATCGGGTCCAAGTTTTCAGTTGCGGTTGAGGGTTTGTTTTTCAAGGTTCTAGCTGCAAATGGTATGTAATCGCAGCACAGCATGTCCGTATTTCGCATCAGATTGGGGAGTTGGCACATTCGCGGCGATGGCCACTGCAATCGGGGCGGAAGCAGTGCAGGCACCGGGTGTTGGGAGTGGGCTATTTTGTAAATGACACATCTCTGGAAGTCGTTTGGGCTTGGGGTGCAGAGCTGCTGTGGCACGTGGTAGTCGAGCTTGCGCAAAGTTTACGGCAATATGGACAGCTTTGTCCCGCTTCCCTCAGCAGGCTGTTCTGGATGGCTTCCAGTCGCCGAAGGCTTGTGAGTAAGAGCTGCAGTTGCAGCACCTCACGAGATTCATCAGCGTGTGAGCATACGGTTGACCCCTGTGGTTTGCATAGTGGAAGTTCCACGTCTCAGTGTGGGCTCTGCACCTACAGTGGGCCAGGCCTGCCGGGCACCCGGGCAAGAACAGTACCACTACAAAAACGAGTCCACCAACAGCAGCAACGGCAGCGACAGCAACTCCGCCACGAGCATTGCAAGTAAGTTTGAGCCTGAAGCCTCAAGTTTTCGCGTGTCGATGGCAGCAGGGGTTTGGGCATGGGGTGTCGAGCCAGGCGGAGGAGATCCTCGCGAGTCTCCGGACGCTTGCCGGGCTGTTGAAGACAGCTGGGGAGGAGGCTCGAAGTTTTGATTGGCGGAAGCCTGGGGTGGAATGTGGCATGAGGAGGGGGGCCGATTACGGCTTTCGGGACCTGCTTGAAGCCGACCTTGAATCTTCAACCGACTTTGGAATGTTGGTCGCATGTCTGCATGAGACGAGATTTGCAGATGGTGAGGCTTCTGTCGCTGTCAGAAAACCCTAAGACCCTAACTCCAAAGCCATTTGAGGAGGACCGCTGGAAGGTCGTCTCGCTCCTCGAGCGGGCATCTGCGCATGCAGCCAGCCGCGAGGACACTGCCGGTGAGATTGCCATGGTTGTGAAGACCTTTTTGATGTCTTTGCTGCTGTTGATAATGCTTCTGTCTGTCATCTGTCTTTGAGCTCGAGGCTATGGCGCGATTCCAGTTCTTGTTGTTGTTATCATGATTCGTCCGGTGATGGTTGCCACAGCTAGCATGGCAACATTCATTCCCGTGTGTGTATGAATATCAGTACCTTCGTGTAGATGGTTTGTTTGTCACTGCAAGGGTACAGTCATCGTCTTTGCGCAGCTCGCCGTCGTCGTCGTCCTCCTCCTCCTCCTCTTCCTCCTCCACCTGCCACTGCAACTGTTGCTGCTACTGCTACTGCTACTGCGACTGCGACTGCTACTGGTGCTGCTACTGCTACTTCTACGCAATGCCAAACGGACTAGGCATGCTTTGGGATGCACACTAACTTTCGATTCGGCCTTGGTTGTCACCATAAGTTCTACTCTCCAGAGCAGCCGAAGCAACACACACACACACAAGTCAGAAACTTCATGTTGGTGACAACGGTCACAGTAAGTCAGAGCACACGTAAGACACAACAGTCACAGACACTCACCAGAGCGATCAACAAATGGTGAAGCTCTGAAAGATCGCAACATCTCTCTTGATTATTCAGGCCATCATCATCATCACCATCATCGGCAGCAACGCCCTCATAGTAAGCAGAGTCACCACAGGTCTAGCCACCGTGTTAGTCATGTTCCACACACTATCCGTGATAATCATCACTAAAAGGCATAAGAAGTCATAGGAGTCATAGAGACCTGGCCTAAGACTGGCGGAATGGCTTTGCCCGAGGAGGTAGTGGCATTCCTCAGAGGCCATGGCGGCACTGAGGACTTCCTCAGGGCCGCAGTGGAGAAGTTGAGGCGGGGATTTAGATTTTGCAACTATTAGTACTGCGACGGAGGCGGCGGCGACGACCACTACTCCTAGTATGACAACGACAAATACTACTAACTACTACTGATACTACTACCACTACTACTACTGATACTGATACTACTGCTACTACTACTACTACTACTACGACGGCTGCTTCTGCTACGACTGCTAGTGCCACTACTACTACTACTACTACTACTACTACTACTACTACTACTACTACTACAGCCAGTGCTGCTATTGCTGCTGCTGCTCCTGCTACTACTGCTGCTACTACTACTACTACTACTACTACTACTACTACTACTACTACTACTACTACTCCTACTCCTACTCCTACTCCTACTCCTACTGCGACTGCGACTGCGACTGCGACTGCGACTGCTACTGCTACTGCTACTGTACTGCTACTGCTACTGCTACTGCTACTGCTACTGCAACTGCTACTGCTACTGCTACTGCTACTGCTACTGCTACTGCTACTGCTACTGCTACTGCTACTGCTACTGCTACTGCTGCTACTACTACTACTACTACTAGTCCGATTACTAGTACTAGTACTAGTACTACTGCTACTACTACTACCACAGCTACTGCTTCTGCTCCTGCCACTGCCACTGCCGCTGCAGCTGTGGCTTCCGCTGCCACTGCTGATGCCACTGCTGCTGCCACTGCTGCTGCCACTGCTGCTGCCACTGCTGCTGCCACTGCTGCTGCCACTGCCACTGCCACTGTCACCGCCAATGCCACTGCCACTGCTCCTGCTACTGCTGCTACTGCTGTTACTGCTGCTACTGCTGCTGCACTACTGCGACGACTACTACGACTCCTACGCCTACGACGACGACTGCTGCTGTTACGATTATTCCGACTAGCCGCTGATGCTGTGGTTAGTCTGTTGATCCTGGACCAGCGCTCAACAAGAAGCACAGTATACTTGCGTGTACCGAGGTGCAGGATGGGGTCACACTCACAGCAGACATGACGAAATGGTAGTACTCAAAAGTGCTTCAGGGTTCGGAACATGTTTGTGATGTCAGATGTCAGGAGACATGCAGAACATCTCTCGGGAGTGAAATCGGACATTGCCGGAACGGCCACACCACAGCGAGACGCAGCTGCAAGAAAGGAGAAGCGGAAGTTCTGGACGCCTACGTAGATTCGGCTTCGGTCGCGGCCTGTTCGGGGTTGGGTTTGCTGTTTCTTTCTGTTGGTAAGGCCTGGCATGGGGAACTGAGGAAGTGGCACATCCAATGGCATGAAGCACGTCGTTCTCAACTGCGCCAACATCGGTTGCACCTACGGAGAGAATGTCCTGAAGCGTACAAAGCCTGGTCAGAACAAGTTTGACTGGAAGGGTGTCGAGGATGCCTACCAGTACTATGAAGGCAGTGGTGATGTGTGTCAGCAGATTTGTTCCTTCTGGTATGTGCTTCGTTCTCAAGTGGACCTTGCATGTAGGATCACTCCCTGGTGAAGGTGCAGGCTTCACAGTCCACGCCATCATTGGTCAGCGGCTGCTGAGTCAGGCGCCTTCTCTACTGCTTCTTGTAGCCAATTTTCTAGGGGTGTACCTGGTCGGCTGTTTGTCCTTCTTGGCTCGTGGAGGTGGGTGGGCGCGACAAGATCTCGCAGAAGCCTCTGGGACAAAGTCTGTCATCGTAAAAGCGCGATTCGAGCAATACGATTCAAGCACTCGGGATTCAGGGACCAGGGATTCAATCGGGCCAGCGATTCAAGCACCACACACGATTCACCTAACCCCGATGTACATGCGCTTCGAGCACCAACGTACGAAAGCACCCGACTTGAGGGTGTAGGTTTCGTCGGGTTTCGGGTGTCGGGTCTCGGATTTTGCGATTCATTTTTGCAGGCTTGGAGCACCGCCGTAAGGAGGACCGAGTCTTTCGGATTCCAGGATTTCAGGCATTAGGGTTTGGTTTTCGGGTTTAGGCTTTGGTGTGTGGATGTTCGGTATCTCAGCAGTGGGCCTGGCTTGCTCAGTTCACGAATCCTCAACAAACTGGCAGCCGCTTGAAGCGTCTGGTTGTCGTTGCGTCGTTGCGAGTCGTTGCGTTGGAGGTGTTCATGCGGCCCCAGAGGCTTCGGTCAATCTTAGTCCCGAGCCTCTGTTCAGCTGGACCGTAGCGCTGTCGGGTGTCTCGGTGTGTGTAGCGTGCTTCAGGCGTCCACTGCGTGTGAAGCGGGCGAATAGGGTCATCCGTGCTTGAATGAGCTGCGTGAATCGTGTTGGCGCGCGGGCAGATAGGTCCGCCGCCACAGTGCACGGATCCCTGGCTTGTGAATCCAGGGCACCGTTGCACGACTCCTTTGTGTGCGAAACCTTGTTCCAGTGCTAGAGGCTAGAGTCCGTCTTTCGGATTCGCAGATAGGCGCTCGTTGCGGTGTGCGAATCGGCTTGTTACTCCTGTGCTCCTCGTGCCATCAAGCCGAGCCTCCGGAAGCTTCGAGGTTAGAGTCCGCGCTGGTGGTCATCCCATCGCGAGATGGGCTCCCAGACATCGATGATTACTCGACGATATTGGAGGCTTACAAGTGGAAGTGCTCCTATGCCCGGCTCTCAAGGGTATTCAATGCGGGGTTTGGTTGCGTTCAGGATTCAGGATGATTCAGGGTTCAGTGTTCAGAGCTCAGCGCAGCGAGGTCGACAACGACAACTACCGCAACTGGGGGGCACGGATGAAGGGCCGGCCGGAAGTGGCGAGGTGGTACGGGCCACACTCCTGCATTTAAGGAAAACGGTGGCACAAGCTATGACAGACCCTGCAATGAAGGGATGGGATGAACAGGATTAAGCGGAGGCAAGACTCGAAGACCGAAGCGGACAACAAATTTCGCAGCCAAGGGAGAACAAGCGACAGCTCCACGTCTCCTATTACTTTGACCGGTTTGGGATGCCTGGCAGCAGGTTGAATCAGGTTTCATGCAGCTATGTGTAACGCCTAACTACCTGCCCCGATGCAGTCATAAGGAAATTTACACCTCTCGACGGTGCTGCACCGGGAACTGCAGAGCCTTCTCGCAAAGATCCGACGCCGAATCCTCCCGCTACGGCAGCCTCGCATCCTGTGCAAGAGCTGCCAGCATTGTCGAGCTCGACTTCCGGCTCTTCTCAGACTGTCGCTGCAGGGAAGGGAGCGCCGGCATCGCATGGGCTTGGCAGGCGACGGGCGCAAGAAGCTCGATCGCAGGGCGAAAAGCGTGTTGTTGAGGAGGCCGCGAGTTGCGAAACTTCAAAGGCGGAGTTGGAAGTCCCGCCGAAAAGAAGCCTTGAGCGCACAACCGAAAGACTGTGTGCAACAAGAGGCCAGAATCCCACGAACAGAGTAAGCCTAAACCTCAGTTGAGCCTCTAGTTGAAACCCGCTTGTTACTTTCGAGGCTCCTGAACCCCAAGTCTGAAAGCTTTCAGGCACCGGAAGGCAGCGAGCCTCCAGCGAAGCGCCCTCGTGGAGAGCTGGAGGCTGCAGGGCCGGGGTCAGCGCTTCAGCGCGCGGGGCTTGAGACTTCGAGCTTTAGATGCCCTTGCAAGTTGGTGGTTTGGGACGTGTTGGTCAGAAGGCATAGTCCTCACAAGCCTTGAATGCAAGGCCCCTGGACCCTCATGTACAGGTCATTCAACTGGGCAGTGAGATCATCGCGCCTCCGACCGGCAACCTCAAGTGGAAGGCATTAGTGCCGCGTGTTTGCATTCGAACTTCCCAAGCAACAAAACACCGGCCTTACCTTAGGATATCGCTGTTTGTTAAACCTGTAAGACTTCCGGCACTCCGAAGCGGAAAATACATCTTCGAGTCAAGGGGTCTTGAGCTCGGTACTTGTTGACGAGAAGGCCATCCTAGCCATATTTTGCTGCATCACATCTTGTCTGCAGACCAGGGCCTGCGCAGCTTCAATTCGGATCGGATTTCGTTGAGGGTGGAAGGTGTCGTTGACACGCAAGCTGTGCAGTTTCGCATTCGGAGTTTGGCGTTCGGGGTTTGCCAATATCCTGTGTGCAAGGGTACTGAGCCGGGTCGCTGTGGGATAAGTTTGGATGTGTCGATCTTTCGAAACCAGCAAGAGACGGGCCCACCCGCGCTTATGTTCGTAGGCTCACAGTTGCACTTTGCTCGGATGGAGCCAGAACCAGGAACTCGGTTCGAAGGCCTTACATCTGAAGAACTGGCCTCTCATCCCGGGGCAGGGATTTGAACCCAGAATCCTAAACCCTGAGCGTGAAAACTATGTCGCGACCACCGAGGCCTGTCCGGGTCTGGCAGCGTCCGCAGGTTGGCGGATACCAGGAGTGTCTTCGCATGCTGGAGCCAGGAGAGGCGGTTCCAGGCATTCAGGGTCTAGGCGTTGCAGATTTTTGTGGTGCCGCTTCGCCGAAGCTCTTTCGTTACCTCTCGCCTTCGAGGAGCCACCTTCATTCAAATCGCGCAGCAGCCGCGCAAAGGGGAGCCTCGGTGGCTGGCCCTCCATCCACGTGGTTGGGTCGAGGCTCCGGACCCTCAAAGCTTCAGGGATCAGATGATCAGATCCCTTGTTTCTACCTTTTGCACTTGGGGGCCCTTTGATAGGCCCAGAGAGATTGAAAAGCACGTATGGCTGTTTCGGACTTGTGGACAAGGTCCTTCATATTCCCTCATTGTGACGTGCCATCGCGCGTCAAGTGCCTAGAGTAGAGGCTGTCCGACGCAGTGATCTAAGCTTGGAAGGGAAGGCTTCGACTCGAGCCTAAATCCGGAAATCCCAAAGATCTTGACCCTGAGGCCAATGCCGCAGATGGCACAGCAACTGTTCAACGGCTCGTTTGCTAAGATCTTCAACTTCTTCCCCATCGAAGGCACTGGATGCCCAGCCTGGCCTGAAGATTCTGAAGATTGATGTCTGGCTAACAAAATGGAGCTGTCACGAAATCTCAAAGCTGCAAGCCACTTGAAGTTTCGCATTGAAGAGGGGCGAGGGCATAAAGAATGGCGGGCAGAGGAGAAGCACACCATGTGGCGCAATCGGCGCGCGGAGGAGTCGCACGATCAGGTCGTGCTAGCATCCTGCGAAGCTCCACTGCCAGCTGTGGAAACGGGAAGCGGAACACACAGCGCGAGCGCGATTTCCACTCCACTCTTCTTCTGAGCCTGCAGTCGAAGCTGGGCCCAAGGCCCCTGCTGGCAGTTCAAGGCTGTACAGGGCCTCAGGGTGCCAAGCGCAGGAGTCACGTGCATCTCAATTCCGCAAGGATTGCGAGCGGCGAATGGAGGTGTCGCATATTATGGCAGATTGTACAGGATTGGCAAGATCAATGTGCCAATGGATCGGCCCGAACTTGGAGCCTTGAGAGGTGAAGTCGAGAGAGGCAGACCTTCCCCTAAGGGAAATGTTGTCCAGCACAGGCGGCGACATCTGCATCGCTCATGTTTCCACAGAGTTGCCAAGAGCTCCCTGCATTCTCGGAGTACTCGTGCAGGCTTCTGCCAGAGCCGGTATCCCTGGATGCGAAAGCTCGCCCTGGAGGCCCTGCTGAAGACAGAAGGGAAGGGAAGAAAAGGAGAAGAAGAGACGCTCGTCATGCAACCAACGGACTTGGGAGAGCCACGCAGCTACAGCTGAGAGTCTGATTCGACTCAATACGAGAGGTCCGAATGCCCTCTCAGCCCCATGACACGCAGAGGCTCTTGCTGTCATGGACCCGGAGGACGGGGTCATGGCGTCGAGGTACAAGTTCAGACATGCGACCCAGAAATGTTTCTGACATCTGGAGGGTGGGGGGGTGTTCTAGATTCTACAGCAGAGGGATGCTGTAGGAAGCGACACGCACCCGGGCGCATGTGCTGTTCAAGCAGTCTGTGGGGCCTGAGGACCTGGAGCTGCACTCCGACGTGGTCGCTGGCAGGCTGCAGGATACCGATGACGACGTTTGCTTCGAGGCTCACACGTGCTTCGAGGTTTGACGTCGCGGGTCCGGGTGTAAAAGGAGTATATGTCATTCACTAGCGACAGGGCCTCTGAACCACAGACCCGGAACCACTGCTAGACCTGCTTGTTGGAGGCGATACGAACCCTGAAGCGACTGAAGCCGGACGTCTTGGAGAAGCACGCGGCTGTCTTGTCTCGTCTGCTTGCTGACGAGGATCCGGATCCTTGACGACCCTGCCCCTGTAAAAACTGCCAGCAACTTTTCCGCCTCTGCAACCTCCGAGTTTCCCCAGGCTCCTTCGTCCCTCTGTTCTGGTTTGGTGCGGGGTTGAAGTGAGTGCTGTGCGGCTGAGTCGGGAGGACTGGAACGTCCGACTCGCTGCTCTGAGTACGCTTTCCAGGCAGTGCCACGTTTTGGGGTTCAGCAAACGGTTTTGGCTGGGTCGTTTGCATCCAAATTCCACGCACTGCAGCTCAAGCCTGTTTCTTTCCTGTCGGCAGAGGCCCTTATGCAAGGGCCGGTGCAGTGTTTGGAATATGCGTAGGCGTAGCCATTTGTCACTGCTAAGCCTGAAGAGGCAAGCAATACCTTGCGTCTCTGGAAATGCATGGCTTGGGTCGTGACTTGGCAGGTTGGAGCCGTTGCAGCTCAGTCGCTACAGCCAGGCCTCGGGAGAGTGTCACGGCTTCAGAGCTTGGGAGACTCTGAGGGCGGTTGAGAACAGCGCAAGTCGGATCAGGACACCCGAGACCCTGAATCGTTATACCATCAATCGCCCTCAGTCTCAGATTCAAGGGCCGTCAACCCTTCCGTCGTGGCAGGCGCTGAAGGATCGCTGCACGGATGATGTGCCTGGTCGCAATGCTCGGTGTGATTGTCCTTGAGGGTTGCTTTGCGATGTGTTGCTTGAGCCCGGGAATCGTTTCGAGGGCTCAGTGTTGCCCAGTCGACTTCATCCGAAAATCATGGGCACTAGAGCTATGATTTGCACGGTAAACACGAGTCATGACAAATGTTGGAATCTCGCGCTTTGCTCCGGTCCATTGAAGCCAGTCCCCACTTCTAGGGTTTTCTTTCGCCTCTGCTCCGACGATCTCCTCAAACCGCGGTCCCAGCACCTCTTCGATTTCTCATTCGGGCATAGCAAAACATTCCAGATATTCAAGTTTCTCTTCTGGGACGAAGCCTTTCCGAGTTGTGCGACATCCTGAATATTTTCCAGCAAAATTCAGAGTTCGGACGCTGTCTCTGATCTGCTTCGACTTGTCGTTCTTGGCTTCAAAGTTCGGGTGCGGACACAACCTACGGCTTTGTCGCATGGTTCCCGGTCGACGCACTCCACTCGTGCAAGTCTGCAAGCACCTGGCCCCCAGGTGCATCAGGTGTCAGAGCTTGCCGGCAAGGTTTGGCAAAGGCGCGAGCCAGTCGCGAGCCACTGCATGACCAGATTGACCAGCTTCTGTTCGTAACAGCAGGGTCAGAGAGTGTTCTGCCCCCCGTGTGCACACGACCCTTGGGCACTTTGAGATCTTGCTAGGTTGTCAGGTTTTTTTTGGAGTGTCACCTTTGCCTTTGGCATTGTTGGCCATTGCATAGCTTGTGCCGGTCTCCTGAATCTTCGATGCATTGTTGGAACTGCAGGTTCATGCAGGACCTTCCACGGCTTGTAGTCACTTGCAGTGCGGCACCGAGTTGCGGCTTGGAGGCACTTGGGGCTTTCATGATGGTTTATCAAGCCTCCATGGACATGTTATGAAAAGGTCTGCCGTTGTGAGCACCTGCCCAGTGGCGGGGTTCGACCCAGCCGAAGTTCAATATGGTTGACGGAGCACAGCCATGTAGTGACAGCACACGTCGAAGTGCATCTCCACGACAAGCTTGGAAGCACCTTGTCCGCGCCAGTACCGAGGCCTGCAGCCTGGTACTCTGAGAATCAGCTGCATAAGCATGGCAGGCGCCGTCATGGGCCAGCTTGTCTTCTACGTTGGACTGAGCTCCTTCGTTAGGAAATGCTTCAGTCATATTCAGGCTTCCGATGCCAGGGCCCAGCCGGGCTCTGATTGCCAGGCAACGATATGGCAGACCTGTCCATGCACGAATCGGCAAACTGTAAAGAGCTGCGCGAGCTCTTGGCCGAAAGGTCCCCCGGCTTGAGGGTGCTGTGTGGATGCGGTGGATGCGGATGAAGGGCTTGTTTTGGTTACCGAAATGCTGACTGTCTGCTTTTGCTCTACAGCAACTCCCTCTAAATGTACGCCAGCTGCAGTGGCTGCTTGGTCCAGACCAATCCTGCAGCGATGATGGGCTTCAGAAGCCGAGCACCCACACTCGTGAGCCCTGAACCACCTGCGGGAAGACAGATATTCCCCGAAGCCCCAAACCTGCGAAGTGTTCGTCTTGAGATTCTCAGGTTACAAGTGCCAGTTGTCCAGCTGAAACTCCTGACGGCTGGCGCTGCTCCGAAGGAGCTGGTGGATGATTTGTCTGTTGGCGAGCTTCTGACCTAGGGTTCCTCCTTCGGGGCTTCAAGGCTTTGGGGTTCATCTCGACTGCTGTGTATGATACCAATATGAGGTATGAGACTCTCTCTCTTTTTTACTCAGAGGTTGACCTTCGGAGATCAAGTCGAAATTTTCGGGTTGAGTTCTACACGCTGGAATCCCAACCAGCATTCCGTCGACAGTACCTCCTCAGCTTCCTTGACTGATCAAGGCGCTTATCACTTTGCAGCTATGTTCTTCGATCTTCTTAGGAAGAACGGGGGTGCAGATCTGCATTGAATCAAAAGGTCCTGCGAAGTCGGTATGTTTGCTCAAATCGTCTAGTGAAGACTGACAGTTGTGTTGCGAAAGCTTTCGTGAACCAGGTCAGTCATCAGTTTCGTTTATTCTGCGGTTCTCTAGCTGCCGGGCATCAGTTTCAGCCGGTAAAACGATAACTACGTGTTGGCCTTGAGAATGGGTCAGAAGCTTCACGTGCTTGGGCCCAGAGGGCCCAGAGTGATGTGCCCGGCACATCGGCTTATGATTTTCCAGGGTAGCGACATGAGGTACCAATTTTCGGCGTAGTAGGTTTCGAGGCCCAGGCTAGAACATCTCAAGAGGACGCAGTGCTACAGATGCGGCACCTCATGTTTCTCCACTTCTTGGATAAATTCAGTGCGCTGTACGTGCTGCTTGCAATGGCCAGAGGCCTTTGGCCGCACAGGATGACTCCTGGATGTACATACTGAAGATGCTGCGATTGTTTGTGGCTTTGGAACTCTCGGAGAACACAGCACTGAGCTTGGAGTCTGGAGGTCCGAGAAGTTCCCTGAGGTGTGAGCAGTTTTGTTCCGAGGCCGCCCGGGCGCCTCCACGAGGAAAGACTTCGCAGAGGATCCGGGTTCTTGGTTCTTTCTTGCTCGGTTTTTAGCCTGTTGCTTTCCAGATGGTGGCTGCAGGAGGAAGAGATGGAGTTGGAGGCCGCTCAAACGAGATCTGATTCGGTTGCTGTGCTTAGTTTTGAGGCTTCTTGGATGCAAGCCCCGAGCCCGAAAGCCTCCTTCTCTGACCTTCCTTGGCGGCGTGATGCTGCATGAACAGGTCTCGATGATCAGTGGCCAATTCCTGGCCAAGGCAGGCCGTCGGCATGATGTCACTTCCATCGTCCCGATATCGGCATGTAGTCGGTCAGTGTGTGCATTGACTGTGGGGTTGCCGGTCCTGATGCGCCTCCACGTCCTACTTCGACATCTTCCATTGCATCTGCTGACGGGCTCCTACTCGTGCTTCAACCACAACAACAACAGCAAAACGTCTACCAGGGTCTGCTACTCCTGCTATGCATATGAGTATTAGTTGTCACTACCACTACCTAGAATTGTTATCATTTTTCCTATTATTCCTATCGTTCTGGTTCTAGTATTTCTGCTGCTGCTTCTGCTGCCACTGGCACAAGTGTTGCAACTCCGACTACGATGGAGACTCCAACCCCTTCTTGTTCAGTTCCTGTGCATGCAGCTGTTGCTAAAACTATTGCTGTTCCTACTGCCGGTGCTGCTGCTCCTGCCTCCTGCTCTGCCGTCCTGATCCTACTGCATCCTGCGACTGCCACTACAACGACTATGACGGTGACGTGGACGAAGACTACGTCGACGGCGGCGACGACTACGACTACTGCCGCTGCTGCTGCTACTTCTACTTCTACTGCTACCACTACTTCTACTGCTACTATTACTACTGCTACCACTACTACTACCACTCGTACTACGACGACGACGACTACTACTATTACTACTCGACAACTACAGCTACGGCTACTGCTCCTGCTCTTGCCTGCTACTGCTACTGCTTGCTGCTACTGTTGCTACAGCTACTAACTGCTGCTGCTACTGCTACAGCTCCTGCTACTTCTACTGCTACTGCCTTCGCTGCTGCTACTGCTGCTTGCTACGGCTACTGCTAATGTTAATGCTGCTGCTACAGCTACTGCTCCTGCTGCGCAACTACTCCAGCTCCTGCTCCTGCTGTTGCTATTGCTACTTCGACTGCGACTTTGACTGCGACTGCTAGTGCATTTCCCAGTGCAATTGCCTCCGCAACTGCTACTGCTGCTATCACGACAACTATTGCGGCTGCTTGTGCTCACTCCTTCTGCCACTGGATGAGGACATTTGTACCGGTGCCTGGTGGTTGCAAGAGGAGCCTGCTGCTGCTTCTGCTGCTGCAGATGATAATGATGATGATGGCGATGGTGACAGTGATATGGATGATGGACGATGATGCCGAGAACTACGGCCTTCATCGTGGTGTGATTTTGGGTGGTGTGTAGCCGCAGTCGCCAGCATAGTTCCCTCTGTAACAGTTGCATCATCATCGTCGCCATCATCATCATCATTATATCATCGTAAAATCAGTACCAGCGCAACAGCATCAACACCACCTTCAGCATCCCAATTACCACCAACATCAGCATCATTACTATCATCATTGCAATCAACAACATCATATTCTTTATTTATGCTCGTTCTGATGCTGACCCTCCTCCTCCTCCCCCCCTGCTCCTCCTCTTCCTCCTCCTCCTCCTCCGCCTTGCATCTGCATGGGCGTTGTCGTTGCGCCGTCGTTGCCGGGGTCGTGGTCGTGGTCGCTGTGGTTGTGATTGTTGTGGTGTTGCTGCTGCAGCTGTTGTTGTTGTCGTCATCGTTGTTGTTGTGGTGGTGCTGGTCGTTGTTGTAGTTTGTGGCCGTGGTCGTTGTCGTCGTGGTGATGGTGGTGGTGGTTGCGGTGGTGGCAGTGGTGGTAGTAGTGGTCGTGGTCGTGGCCGTGGTGGGGTGTGGTGGTGGTAGTGGTTGTGGTGGTTGTTGTGGTTCAGTTGTTGTTGCGGTGGGTTCGAACGCCACGTAAACGCGCAAAATCGAAGTGTTTCCTCTGCCTCACGTGCCGAATATATCGGTGCCGTCGGTGTTCCCAGCGCATCCAAAATTCGCACTTTCCGCACCTGCCGAAACCCTCGGTCTTTGCGGTGTTTTCGCTGTTTCCAGTGCGAAAACCATGGGTATTTACGGTGTTTCCTGTACTTTGGCCATGCCCGAAGCATATTAACGTCCATTGCGACCCCGCCCCATTGGAAGCGCATCAGCCTCGCCATGTCAGCAGTAGTATGAGCATCAACATTTCGAGCAAGCACCGCCTCAACATTTTACCTTCAATATATCGTAAACGGCAGAGCAGCTTGCGCAGACAGCTGCAACTCCAAATGCATCTTGATGAAGCGCCTCCGAATCAAAGCGCCTTGCTTGTTGGTAAAAGTTGGTCGTAGAAGGGTTCGATGACAAGAGCACGCGTGAGCGCGACAGAAACATTTGTGAGATGCTGACCGCGACGAGTTCGACGAGTTTCAATTCTTTGCACGCTGTACTTTATTCTCACACGGTGAACGTTTTCAAGCTGCCAAGCACGAAGACCTGAACAACTGCCATGCAAATCCGCCACTCCCCCTCAGCCGCAGGTCCACTGTCGCAGGTCCGAGGGATTGGGATGTCTCCGAAAAAGAGTTCAGGAGGCGCTTCCAAAGTGTTTACTGAGGGTTTCCAGTACGCCTT